AATGTGTTAGTTTGGGTTTGAAATTTGGACAAAGTAATTGGTGATTTTGCACAATGTGCATAATCATCACATTTCATTGAAATTTGTTTCACAGATGCTCTGGTGTAATCCACAGACAATAATAAAAAACATACATATGATTATCTAATTATTATTTATTATTATTATAATAATTATTTCTGGTATCTCAAAATGTCTGATTTAAATTGAACTTGTGGTAGAGGTGTTCTGGAATATATTAGACTTAAAATCAAATGTATTATAAACTTCAATAATGTGGATCACATTGTTTTCTCAAATAGCAGACAAATATTAGTTGCTAAGCTTCTTGTTTGGAAGGCTAATTAATTTTAAATGTGTCCCCAATTCTCTTAGCACATGGGAGTTTTTTCTAAGCTTATTTGTTTCTTTGTTAAATTGGGGAAGGAAGCTTCAATTGTATGCATTCTGTTGACCTGTACTAGGTTCCATCATGACAGTTTGAGAAGGCTGTTTTATTTTAGTGTTCAGTGTGAAAGGGGCTGTTAAATCACAAAACTATTAAAAAACTGCTCACCTGCATTAGTCATAATTTTTTTACTTTTCTCCATCAATTTTGATCAGAAATTGCATGTTCACATAGTATAAATTCAACATTGATGTTTCTTATTGTTGACAAGAAATAAATCTATACCACATTAACAATATGCAATTACAGAAAAACAATCACCTTTCTAAATGTGTCAGTTTAAGTTGGTGTGATTAGTATGATAGCTGATTACATCAGTGTTCATTAAAATAAACTGCCAGTATATCCAATTTGGGGTAGGGGTACAATCATTTTACAATGAACATGAATTAAATATTTCTACAAATGCTTGATATTGTTGCAATTTTACCATAAAATTTCGGCCATCTTGAATTTGATCATCAAATGAGTGCAAATGTGTGATATGATGTAAGTGTAAAATTGTAATAGCCAGATATGGTAATGTGATCAGTTTAGAACAGCATTAGTTAAAACTAAATAGCCACCAGTTAAGGACCCAGTATGTTCAATGGATTATACCGAAATACCTCCATGTACAACTAAGATCGAGTTTTAGGATAGCAGAATGTGCATATGTATACTATGTTGTATGGTGTGTGTATAAAATTTGAATATAATTGGCCCAAGCAAGTCTGAGACTCGCATAGATGAACTATAAGTTTCCATTTTCGCAATACATTCAAACGGGGACTGATATCTATGAATCAAATTAATACACTTGTGAAAAGCTTGAAGTCTGACGATTCTAAAAATATATACTTTCCCGGGTCTATTTGTAGTCATTTAGTCACAATTAGAAGATGAAAACAAGTATGCAAATAATAGTCTCGCTACCTTAAGTCACATTTTAATGATTCTGTGTACACTGTAATCAGCCATGGCATTGCGAGATACAGGTGTGGACATATACAAGTCATTGCTGATGTCGTGGTCGTG